TTATATAGATAGTGGTAATATCCATACTATTGAAGCAGAGCCCAAAAATACTTATAGGTATATATACACGTGTGAATGTCAATCTGAAGAATTGGCATTAGCAAACAAAAACAGTAAACAAGGTGTTCTATTTTACCATGCAAGCACAAACAGGATCGTAAGTCTCATAGTGGTAGGCAGGGATGACTAATATTTTGTAGTTTATCTTCAGTGAAGATCATATTCTGAAAAAGAAATGCTGATATATAAAGATATATAAAGGTGTACTTTATCAACACAGAGTTTCAAAAAAGTTCAGGTTATTTTTACCAATATCTCCATATCTTTTTTTTATCTATTGTTCAACTTCTGTCTTTTGCAGGCGGACTGCCATTAAAGAAACAACCAACAATTGTTACCTAAGATAGAGATCCATAAGAATATGTAACTACCTCGGGATATAGAACGACATATGCATAAATTCATAACGTAGTCTAGAATGTTTTCATTACAAACGCATAATAATCTCCATTTGGTCTACTTCCAGAGTAATCACTTAAAGGAACGTGACCAACTGCAGGCGAGGGATCTATATCCGGTGGTTCTCTACTACGTTCAGGACGCAGAAATGGGATGGTTAGATCCTACAGATTCACAACTAGTACAAGATGATCAGGATGCAGAAACAAGATGTTCAGATCCTCAGAAGAACTCTTATTTTCAATGCCCGCGGCAGAACATGCCTCTACAGGAACCTGGACTTGGATCTGACCAACAACATTCAACAAATAACCAGGCTTCTCTTGTTGATCTTCAAAGTATCATTGGCTGTCATGGCGGTACAACAGAGCATGCTGAGAATGCTGCTGATCCTTCAGCTAATCAATCAAATCAGCGTTATGCCTTCGAAATATACGATGCACGAAAAAGGCAAATTCCTCAAGTCTCAGGCTCACAATTTGTTAATGAAAATTGCAATTCAAAGCCATTCACACATAGCCATCCGAATTCTAATAGTAGTTGTGATCAAGTATCTATGCAAGAGCCTGCACCACGGCCCAAAGATCTAGCGGACAGTTGCGTATATTTATTAAATGAATCAGACCGACACCTTGTACCACAACCCGAACAGCTAGCATATACCTATCTATATATAAAGGAGAATGGATGTTTGGTCTGGATTGGTACAATTAAAGTCGACAGTGAGGGAGATGTTTTTATGGAGCCTGAAATATATGGCGAATCACTTAGATATCTGTATATAAAGAAGAATGGACGTCTGGTCTATATTGGTAAACTTCTATTGGGCAATGGGAGTGACGCTTCTACAGAGTTTGAAGTATGCAGCGAATCAGGCCAACACATAAATAGTAATGCACACAGCCTTGTACCACAACCTGAAGAACAGATATCACTTACAGATCTTTATATACAGAAGAATGATTGTCCGGTCTGCATTGGTAAAATATTAGTGGGCAATGAAATAGACGTTTCTACAGAGTCTGAAGTATGCAGTGAATCAGGCCAACATATAAATAGTAATGCACACAGCCTTGTACCACAACCTGAAGAACAGCAATCACTTACAGATCATAGTAATGCACATAGCCTTGTACCACAACCTGAAGAACAGCAATCACTTACAGATCATAGTAATGCACACAGCCTTGTACCACAACCTGAAGAACAGCAATCACTTACAGATCTTTATATACAAAAGAATGGATGTCCGCTCTGGATTGGTACAGTAGTAGTGGACAATGGGGGAGACATTTCTACAGAATCTGAATTATGCAGCCAATCAGGCCAACACCTTACTAGTAGGGATGCACAGAGCATTAATCTACAACCTGAAGGACAGCAAAGATACGAAATTACATATTCACTACCAGACGGATGCCTGGTCTCAAGTGGTAGAGATAATTCAGACAACCAGGTACACTTAAGTATGGAATCTGAAATAAGTGGTACCTCTAATTTGGAAGAAAAACTCTGGGTTAAGCTTAAGAAACCCCGTGAAAGTCTTCAACAATTCTTGTGTAAGAACTGGCAAGAAATGATAAGACATTTGCCAGTTCCTAAACCAAAGAAGGAAAACAGATATGACTGGCAGAAAAAGGAACCTGAGGATCCAGAGGAAAAAATTAAATGGAAGAACGCTATTAAGCAAAAGTATTGGCGTGTTATGCGTGCGCCAGTCAATATTTTTACCAATGTTAATCAAGAGCCGGTCAAAATTCCAACCACTGTAAAGGAAGGCAAAGAATGGCAGCAAATATTTATAGCCAGATGTAAACAAACTTATTGACCAACATCTGTCAGACCAAGCCTCAATGATCTTTTAAGTTGATGGACCAAGAAACGACAAAACAGCAGAAGGCATTGCATCCCAAATCTGTTACAAAGCCTTCAGATGGAAACCTCATACAACACTTAGCAAACATGCTGTGAATTGATCATTGAGAACAGTATACAGTAGATGGAACACGTGTTCAAACCAATTCCAAGAGAATACATTTACTAAGTGTTTTGTTACTTTAAACTTTAATCTGTATCATTTCCATGCAGAGAAAACATGTATATCAAAATTCGCAATATGAAAAGCTTTTTTTTATGATATTGTTTTCATTGGATTTAGGTGTTAGAACAAATCTCAAACTATTCTATTCCTTTGGATCAATTGTAGATCAGCTCTTGGACCACTGGTGTTCTTAACCATGATTGTGAACATTATTGCAGATATTAAACACTCACATTTTTAGCTGATACCATTAACATTAGTAGAGGATAAAGACAAACTAAGAAAGGATATACATGCCATTTATGTATGGACAACTGAAAATTCTATGAATATAAGATGCTGATAAATTCGAACGTTTAAGATTAGTCTAACCGGAAGCTCAAGGCCAACTTTATACTCTGTCAGCAGAATAGAAGAAAAGGCCTGTTCATAACTAATGATAAGAGCTTCAGTCACCACATTGAGCTGTCAGTCAATAAAGGAAAAGAACTGATGTAGGGATGAGGACTTTTAAAAAAGAAATCCAAAATATTTGCCGTCACTAGGGAAAACACCAGTGGTGCCAAGACTGGAATATCAAAGAAAGATACTTTATTGTATATATATGAAAGATCACTGAGCAACTGGCACCAAATCCAAGAGAAGTATGAATTAGTATAATTCCATTCGTTACAATGGTGATTCTTGGAGTGACCGGCTGTATCTGTACTTTGCTTCTAAATTGGCCTCTTTCTGCTCAAACTTCACAATTTATGTTTTATGGAACCTGCCTTTTTTATTAATTGGCCAAGACTGTTTGGCCCCAGAAATGAGTCATGAACATAATGTAGGTAACCATTGTCTGATTATAATTCGTAATGTAAGTCGATTATACAGATATTTTTTTTTCATAAATATTTTTCTTGTTAGGGTGAGCTCCTCTTAAAAACTTATGATACCCTCTTATACCAAAAGGTGTCTTATGTAGTTACAAGATTAAATACTGAACACTTATCATTACTATGTACATTGTCTGTTTTATTTTGTATTATGTTCAAACAATAAAGAGAATATGACTTTTCATGAAGCCTTATTTTGCCCTTAACCCATGTACTAATCACCCACAACAAAATCTTTTTGTAAGTTCACTTGTGTGTATTTATATGGTTTGGTTAAAATTTAACGTGATGAACTGCTAAGTCTGTGGATGAACAGGGTAGTGGGAGAGATAGTGCGTAAGTGTGTGAGAAAGAGTACATGTGTCTGAGAGACAGAGAGAGATGGTGCGTGTGTGACCGAGAGAGAAAGAGTAATGTAAGTTCCATCATCCTACACTTTTTCATGATTGCGAGAGGAAGCCTTATATACACTATGTGGAATATCAAGCGAGATATTTCACGATTACCCGATATGATGTGTGGATAACACGCGCAACCATTTATCATCTCTGCCTCTCTCCAACGCATGCAGTGTCCAACTTTCTTCCCCAAAGACCTAGGCCAGTTTTTTGTATCATCAGTTCTCATGATTTTGTCCATGAAATCTGGCATTAGGAAATACCAATGCTGTGATCACATTTCACATCTTCGCCTTCCATACCCTTTGCTTCACCCTCCTTCTCTCTTTGGCTCCTCGAACATCTACCCCCTCTTCTCTCCACAAGAGATCCTTTTTTCTCAGACCTCCCCACCTTCTGATCCTTCTATTCTTAGTCCCTCTACATTCAAAATATTTGCCGATATCTATCTTCCTCCTTCAAGTTCCCAGAACACCCCCATCTTCTTCTCCATGTGCATCATTCCCATTTCGTTCCCTATTATCCAGGATAGTCACATGATTCCCTGGTAACAAAAGTGTCCTCCACATTCCTCCCCTCCTGACGCTCTTCCTGACACTTCTCCTCATTCCCCAGTCCCATTATCTCATCCTCTAGATTCTTCTGCTACTTCTCCAAGTCATCTCTACCCTTATTATCTGGTGATTACTTCATCATAACTTTTATCAGTTTCCTTAAACAATGTTCTTATAGCTTCCCCAGCAACAGTTAAACTCCATTTCATCCAATCGCACTATGCCCTTTACCCTTTCCTTTACTAATCTCTGATTTACTTTATTTGCACCAGCTCTTTACCTTTTTCCCTATCATAGTTTCCCATAACCTCTCTCTGACATTTAACACTATCCTAAGCTTGGGATAGTGTCCCCAAGTGTGTAAAGAATAATAAAAAATAAAAAATAAATCATCATCTCATTGTCTTGAATTCTATAAAACCTGGAGCCAAAAACGATACTGACCGACCATCCAGGCTCATGACCTATTTGTGCGTGACACACAAATGCAAATCATTTTTTTTATTTTTTTATTGTTTATTGTGAATTTTTGAAGTGGGATTTTTGTACGTCATTTAGACAAGGACAGGCTAAAACTGCTAAACCTAAATGCAACAAACACTAGATTTTTCATTCAGCTACAAAATGAGGCATAAAACTTTTTTAGCAGCATTTTCGTGTTTTCGTATAGTTTCATAATTGTTTTAATATAATTAGGTATAAGAATAATCTTCCTAAAACATAATCCCCAAAGATTTTGGTTTTTATGGGGTACAACCCAACAACACCCCTTTTTGAGATTTGGGGGAGGATAAGAGTTTGGGTTGTTGGGACCACGTAGCACTGACCAGTTAAGTATAGTATCTCACTAAGCGACATTTGTTATGGTAGGAACACACTGATTTGGGGTGTTTATAGGCCTACATTGACCATTTTTGGAAGTTTCTCTAAAATCCCCTCAAAATAATAGTTATTCTGATTTCATTTTCGAACAGAAAAACGTTTCAGCTAGTGCTTGTATGACTCATTTTTTCTATTATACCTACACAACTCTTAGAACACCATACAAAGGATTTTTTTATATTTGTCACTTTTACACAAAGCACAGGAAAAACATGCAAAAACTAAAGGCAATAAGCACTAGATTTATCATTTAGCTACAAAATGAGCCATAAAACATTTATTTTGGACAAAAATTGCATGTGCTACAGCTTTTGAAGTCTACAAAGGGTCGCACTTTAGTTGGAGGGAGGGGGGGGGGGGTTCGGCGTGCGTTATTTTTTTTTTAATTCTCTAAAATCCCCCCCCCCCCCAAAAAAAAATGCAGTCATTCTGAATTCATATTTGAGTAGAACAGTCTTTCAACTATCGTGTGCAGAAGCCAGTTTCTCGAAATCACCTTTTATTTTTTCTCTGTGAATATTTTACGAAAGTGACATTTTCCAACACCATAAAAGGGGCTATGATTTATATGTTACTTTTACAAGAAGCACATGAAAATATGGCAAATTCTTATTGCATCATGCATTAGATATATTATTCAGCTACGAAATGAGTTATATTGGGTTAAAATTGGACTGAAAAAGCGTAAATTTATGTACATGAGGTATATAAGGATATGCAGACCATTTCCGTGTATCTCATATTTATATATATTGTTATTTCTGTTCATTTGTTTTTGATTGTTTGCTTGTTTAAGTTGTGTTTATCTGATAGTTCTAAAAGTCAAGAACAGATTTTAATAAGATTTTCACCAGAGGTGTGTTTTAACCAAACTTAGACATAGTGGCATTTTGGGCGTGATCTGGACTATGGTTCGGATCCAGTTTCTTTTTTTTTTTTTTCCAACTCGAAAAGTTATGGACTGATTTTTAAAAACTTTTTACATGAGGTGAGTCTTAACCTAACTTATATTCCATAAAATTGTGATGGTGGTCTGGGTCATTTGGCAAACATACTCCCAATTGGAGGGGGGGGGGTGCATTTTCAATTTTTTTGCTCATAGATTAAACTAGATATGATGAAAATAAGAAAATAAAATACCCCATATGAATGGCATATCGTTTGTTTATTTGTAAGAAGAATTTATGTTATTGTTTTTTGATGCTTGCCAGTTTTTTTTTCCGAAAAAATGAAGATTGGTCTCAACTTACCTGAAATTTAATAAGCTTTCAAAAAAATAATCTCATTTTTTTTTTAGATCTAATCATTATGTCACAACTGCCGATTTTCTAAGGTAAGGTGAAAAAATAATATTTCGGTCGCCATCGAAAAGGGCCTTGTAATTTTCAATTGAGATTCGGAGGCCCTGAAACTCCTTGGAAATGTATTTAACTTGCTTTCGACAAGAAGGGCGAAAAAATGCTAAAATGCAAATAATAATAATAATAATAATAAGCGAAAAACACCACCAAGTGAAAATGGAGTTGTTCTTGCTTCTTCTACGTCTGCATGTTACCTAAGATGTTGATCTTTAAAAAAATCTGTAATTACGTAGGCTTATGGAGCTATATATAAACATAAATACATAGTACATAATATATGTCAGCTTGGTGGTCTACTTCCAGAGTAATCAACTAAATGAGGCAGGTTATGGACGTGACCAGCTGCAATCTGCAAGTTACACGAGGGATCTACAACTGGTGGTTCTCCACTATGATCAGGTTGCCGAAACGAGACAGATCCTATAGATTCACAAATAGTACAAGATGATCAGAATGTAGAAACAAGATGTTCAGATCCTCAGAAGAACTCGTATTTTCAATGCCCGCTGCAGAACATGTCTCTACAGGAACCTGGACTTGGATCTGACCAACAGCATTCAACAAACAACCAGGCTTCTCTTGCTGTTCTTCAAAGTATCATTGGCTGTCATGGCGGTAGAACAGAGCATGCTGAGAATGCTTCTGATTCTCCAGCTAATCAACCAAATTAGCGAGATATCGACATATATAATGTAGGGGAAATTAAGCAAAGTACCGAAATCTCAGGCTCACAAATTGTTCATGAAAATTGTAATTCAATGCCATTCACACTTAGCCATCCGAATTCTAGTAGTAGTTGTAATAAGGTACCAAATCAAGAGCCTGTACCACGACCCAAAAACCTAGTGGACAGTTGTGTAGATTTATTAGACGAATCACCTTACAAATAAGTAATGCACACAGCCGTGTACCACAACACGAAGAACAGACATCATATACATATCAAAATACATAGGTGACTGTTCATAATAATCAGGAAGCAGATCTTACAACTTCAAAACCGATAATCCTTCCGCAAAACTGCCATATTGGTAGAACAGAATTGGTTAAGAATGCTACCGATTCCCTATTTAAACAATGGAATCAAAATGATAATGCGGACATTGAGCGAAGTTCTAAAGACAAATCGTTAGAAAGTTCATGATTTGTAAACTAAAGGATAATGGGACAGACGTTTCTACGGTGTCTGAAATTGGTGATCTAACTAATTTGCATAAAGATTCTTTATTTGCCAATCTTTAAACATCTGTTCAGAAGACTAATGGCACTGAAGTATGCAGAGAATCAGGCCAACACCTAACAGGTAGGGATGTACACAACGCACATAAACCTAACCTAGTACAACCAGAATTACAGCCATTCATTATGGATCTACATATACAGCAGAATGGATGTCTGGTCCGACTGCCAACCTAGTGTGAGACTTGTGGGACAAAGCCCACGGGACCGGACCCCCACAGGACCGGACTATGTGACCTGCGGGTGTATGTGTGGTGTGAGTGTGTGTGTGTGAATAGGTGGATCCCATGTGACGTCATGAGTCGTGTTGAAACTTGGCTGCAGTAAAAACAAACTTGCTGCTTGGCCCTCTTCACTTCAAAGTGATACGGAAGCGAACTGAAATATTGTGTTCGGAATCTATTTCCTGTCGCTAAGATGGCGTCATACAGGTATGAGGAACTTGAAGGAGAAGCAAAATCTAGATATGTGAATAAGTTGAATATATGTAGCCTGGAAATTTACCCGAATCAACTGCTACTCGTGAAGCAATGAAAAATCGCCA